CAGGACACCCCCCACCCCGGCTCCGGCCTCCACAAGCCGGGGATCCCCCCGGCCCAGCCCGCGGTCAGAGGCCGCAATCCGGGCCCCCCGCGACCCCCGCCCGCGCCCGCGGCCTCACCCCGCTCGCGTCCCGCCCGGCGGCTCCTCCCGCTCCGGCTGCGGCCCCGCCCGCCCCGCTCCGGCCCCGGCTCCAGCTCCGGCCCCGGCTCCTCCCGCGGCGGGGCGGGCACGGCTACAGCCCCGCTTCCGGCTTCCGGCACGGCCCGGGGCCTGCACGCTGCCCGGGGAGCGCCACACTGCCCGGAGATCCAACACCGCCCGGGAATCCAACACTGCCTGGGGAGCTAACACCGCCCGGGAATCCAACACTGCCCGGGGAACCAGCACTGCCCGGGGACCCGACACTGCCCAGGGAACCGACACTGCCCGGGGACCGGACACTGCCCAGAGACCGCCACATTGCCCGGGGAACCGACACTGCCCGGGGAACCGACAGCGCCCGGGAAACCCCCACATTGCCCGGGGAACCAACACTGCCCGGGAAACCCCCACATTGCCTGGGGAACCAACACTGCTCAGGGAACCGACACCGCCCCGGGACCGCCACATCACCCAGAGAACACCGCCCGGGGAACCCCAGCACTGCCTGGGGACGCCACACCGCCCAGGGAACCCCCACATTTCCTGGGGAACCAACACTGCCCCGGAACCGCCACATCGCCCAAGGACCCAGCACTGCCCGGGGACCGCCACATTGGCCGGGGAACCAACACCACCTCGGGACCGCCACATCGCCAAGGGAACACTGCCCGGGGGAACCGACACTGCCCGGGCAACCCCCACATTGCCTGGGGACCGCCACATTGCCCAGGGAACCAACAGTGCTTGGGGAGCCAACACTGCCCGGGGGTTGCCACACTGCCCGGGGAACCAACACTGCCCGGATCGGCCACATGGCCCAGGAAACCCAGTCGGAGGAACACAAACACTCCCCGGGACCCCCCTCACCACCCGGGGCACTCAATACCCGGGATGGCCCAGCCTGGGCTCCCGGCACTGCCCAGAACTCCCAACACACTGCTCAGCCCAAAGCCTCAACATTCCCCAGGACCCCACCAACACCTGTCCCTCTGCTGTCACAAACGTCCCTCAGGACCCCCAACACTGCCTGGGACCCCCAAAAACCCCCAGAAACCCCCAACCCCCTGGTCAACCCCAGGGCCACCAACATCCTTCAGGACCCCCAACCACCCCAGTACCTCTGAACAGCCCCCAGCACCCACATCCCTCCCCACTGGCACCCCCAATGTCCCCCTGAGACTCCCTGCTCACGTTTCAGCCCAGAATATGGAGACCCCTTTTCCAGCACCCATCTCAGTCCGTGATTATTCCCACCCCAGACCAGCCTGAGACTCCCCTGGGTCATCAGAGCTCCTCAGGACCCCTAAGACCCTCCCAGCACCCATCTGAGCCCATAAATACATTGAGACCACCCCCAACAACTGCCTGACCTTGTCATTACTCAGAGATACCCCACCAGGACCTACCTGAGCCCATAAACACCTTGAGACCACACTCCAGCACCTGCCTGATCCCCCATTACTCACAGACCCCCCTAAGGAACACCTGAGCCTCCACCAGCACCTTGAGACATCCCACACAGCCTCCACAGGAACCCTCAGCATCTTCCTGAGCCCACAGCACACCCAGCACCCTCCAGAACCCCCAAAATCTTTCACAGCCACATCCCATAGCATCCCTAACACCTCCCTTCATCTCCCAGCACCCCATTAGTCCTCAGTATCACCCCACAGTCCCCTCCAGCACCTCCTGGGAGACCCTCACAGTGCCCCCTGAACCCCACTTATCCCCAGTCCCATGGGGGACATGGGTGCCCATTCCCACAGGTCAAGTGACAAGCACTGAGCACACAGTTAACACGCCCTAAAAAATGTGGGAAAGCCCCAAAAATTGTGGGAAAGGCTTCAAGGAGTAATGAGCTGGAAATGAGGCAAGAGAAGGTCCCTGGAGGCACCCCTGGTATGAAAAGCTTGGGAGAATGCAGGAGCCCCACTCTCAGGCATGAGCTTCAGTATTTAACTGCAATTAAACATATTTTCAGTCAGCTTTTGATTGTGGGTGTGATGGGTGTTTTTGGTATCTCTCTGATGCATTTTCATAGAATCCTGGAATGGCTTGTGTTGGAAGAACCTTAAAGATCATCTCATTGCACTCCCCCTGTTCCACCAGACCAGGACCCTTTAGAGCAACCTTGTTTAAATTTCAGCCTTGTTTAACTTCTCAGCCTCAACAACTTCCTGCAGTGCTGAGTTCTGCAGATGAATTAAACATTGCAAGAAAAAGGACTTCCTCTCCTCAGGTTTGGATTTCCTGCCCTGTCAATCCCAGCCCAGGGGAGTGGGATTGTCTCCTCATCTCAATTTTACTGCCATTCCAGGGAAATGGGTGAAATTCTGGGAAATGCTCCTGGGCGAAACCCAAATCCCACAGCTGGGGCACTGAAAGCTGTGGTTGAAGATTTGTTCCAACTTGTCAGAAGCTCGTGTGGGTTCTCTGCTTCCAAGGTGCATTCATCCAAGCAGGATGATGGTAAATCCCTGCTGACTTTGGGCTGGGATCCGAGATCTTCCCAATCTTGGTTTGGCTGAGGCAGCTCCTCTAATTCTTGTGGAGTGCCTTGAGGAATTTCAAACAGCTTAAAAGGAAACCACCTGATTTGAAAAAAAAACATCCTGTGGTCCAAACAAATATGCATTTCCCTCTTGCTATTAATATCCCAGGCCTTGATCCTCCTCCAAACACTTGTGCAGGCGTTTAATGGCTTGCAAAGGAGCGGTGCCTTTGATCCCAGAGTGGGAATGTTTGCTGGAATGTGAATTATTAAAGGTGAAAGATGCTTTCAAGTGCAACATGCTGCCCAATTTTTTCCAGTGTGGTTTATTCCCTGCCCCGTGTTTCTCCCAGCCTGGCAATGAAAAATTCATTTCCAAGTTTGGCGAGGAGGTTTGGAGTGTGGTAACTCATGCTTTGGGCACAAACTCCATCCTTTTTTTCTAGAGATGATTTCTCTAGGGGAATAAGATAGGGGAATAAGATAGACATTTCTTTTTGCCTGCTGTTCTGGGAATCCTTTTATTTCAGCTCCCACTTTAGGCCCTGTTGGAGCTCCCTGGTCCTTCCCTGCAGCAGCAACATTGCAGTGGGGAGGAATTGCTGCAGCTGCTGCCATCTAATGGGAAAATTCAGCCTCCACGGCCTCAACTCTTCATTTTAGAATCAGATAAAAGCGTTTCTTGCACAATCCTGCTGCCACTCGGCCAAGCAGTACCTTCCATGTGCAATCCCAGCATATTTAGGCAAAATAAAAGCTGATCTGATGGGTGGCTTTACATGGGGAAGTGTTACAGAGCCAGTAGAAAGTTTTCGGCTTGATCAGACTGAAATGATGCTTCTCTTATTATGGATCAAATTTGCAAAGTACATTTGGATTTATATTATTTTTAAGTAAAAGAAGAAATAGTGAAGAAGGTCCCAAACAATAAGAAAAAGCAATTCCAGATATCCCAAATACCAAACCCCACAGGCACAGCTCTGAGCTGAGCCACATAAATCCTTCCTGAGGAGCTGCTCCATCACTGAAAATATTGTATAAAGAAATACACTAAAGAGGGATGGACAGGGAATGGGAGCATTAAATATATTGCATTAAGAAAATAAAGTGTTTTAATGATGGGGCCAAAGGAAAATTACTTGAGGTAGGCTGGGGGGAGACACAGAGGATGGAGACTTAGGGTACAGAGGTACTGAAGTGATAAATTGTGGTGTGCAGGAGAAATAAATCATCCCTAAAAGACCCCAAAATTCCAGAGTCGCTACAAAGTTGGACTCTGGCAGGTGAAGCTGATATATATAAAATATATATAATTATATATGAAAATATATAGTGTTGCTAGAAGCCCAACTCCTGCTTTCACTTTATTTTTCAAAGGCACAAACTGGCTCCTATTATGCTTTGCCATTATGCACATATAAATAATAATGGCAAAAAAAGCAAACCCAACTAGGCAGAATTATTTCTGCAAACTCTGCACATAAGGACAGTCTTTAAACACACCTGTTAAACTGCTGGGAATTTACATGGAGCATATAAAATAATAAAATATAGCACTTGTATTCTTATTATTTAGACTGTGTCTTTTTTTTCCTGCAAAAACATAGTTCAATTAAGCTGTAAAAAGAGAAAAAAAATCCTTGAAATTGTGACATGTGCTTATTTAGATTTTTCTGGATTTAAAACCAATTCAGCACTTCACAAAGAGCAGAAGGGCAGGATGCAGCAGCTCATTCTTCTCTGCCCAGCCTGAAATTTGTTGCAATAATCCAGAATTCTGCTCTGGGGACAACACAATGAAAGAAACCTCCTGCAAGCATTTATCTTCTTCTTATCCTGGACGGGCTCTTGGGGGTTTTGAATTTATTTTGAGCAAAATATTCAGTAGTTTCTGTCAAGCCCCATCACTGCTCACTGGCAGGATAAACCACAGAAGGGAAAAATCAGCTTTACCTTGTGTCATTGGAGACATTTAAGTGCATTTAGAATATATTGAATATCTCATTGTCCCTGATCAAATCCAATCAGATTGCAAAGCCAGAGGAGAAGTCCCCACAGCCCAGAGCACCAACAGCACTAAACCTCCTTGGTTTATACACTTGCATGGCTTCAGGTTTTCTTTTCTTCTCTCCCAAGGCTTGGGTTTGCTCCCTGCTGCTTCCAGTATCATTGCAGCATCTCAGACCCAGCTGGGCTCCTTTTCTGCCTCTTTTCCTAGCCTGTTTTTGGTCTCCCAGAGGAAGTGGTAAAGTTCCCTGAGAAGTATTTTGGAGGGCTGGGGGAATGGCAGGGGGTCCCCCACAGCAGTTTTTGCTCTCAGCATCCAAGGAGGATCAGGCAAGGAAGACACACAGGAAAAGAGAAGGTGTCCAAGGATTATTTTTATGCTTTTCTGGCTGTTGGTGCAGTTTCAGATCAGTGTGTGGGGTGTCTCTCCATCACCAGCAGCAGCCCTTTTTCTTCTGGGGTGCCTTTGGTACCTCTTCTGCCTTGTTTTTGAATTCATCCTCACGAACTTTGAGCAACCTGAGAGAAAAGCAAGCAAATTAGCTGTGTATTTCCCACATATTTTGTATTTCTGTGCTGTTTGTTTTGATGAACCTTGGTACCAGAGGCCCAGCACAGCTGAAAGGAGTCAGGATCCTTCCAGTTCCATGTGATCCTAGAGCTGTGGATGCTGCTAAAAATTCCAACCTAAATCAAATCACAGACAGAACATGTTTCAGTCAAGCCAGGGAGAAGTCAGCAGCATCCCCAAGAGGGTTTAATTCACCTCCTTGCAATGCTGGGTGTTCAGGAGACAAGTTAGAGCAGTGCTAAATGCTCATCCCAACATGAGCTACCCTGATTTTTCCCTGACATTTGGGCATGGAGTCTCTGGTGATGGTGACATCCAGTATTTGGAGTTAAAAAAGCAGAGAGGAAGCCCATTAAATCGAGGACAGGTGAAAAAATCCAAGCACTTGGCTCACCTGGTGAAGCTGACCATGGACTCGAAGACGTTGTGGCCTGAGGCAGCGCTGCACTCATAAAACATGAGCTGGTGCTCCTGGAAGACACAAACCCCCAGTAGAAATGTAATGTTCTTGCACTGGAATAGTTTAATGTGGGAATAAATAGCCATGGGACAGTCCCAGCCAAGGGGAAACAAGAGGGAATCAAGGAAACAAATAACTCAGTAACTTATTTACTGGAACACGAGGGTGAAATCCAGATTTTCTGGTTGCTACAACACCAGCTTTGAACACCAAGGAAAAGGATGACTGTGCAGACAGAAGAATTTGGTCATGGGAGCAAACACAGAGAGAGGCATAACTAGATGTTCCCAACTCTTTTTTTGCTCCCTCTCAGTTTGGTAGAATAAGCATCTATCCCTGATCTCCATTAGCAAAACTGCTCCATGGATTCTGGCCCAAATCCCATAAGGCAGTAAAGGTGAGATTCTTCTCATTCTCCTAATCTAATTTTTATTAGCCATCTATATGTGAAGAGATTAATCAAATTTGATCATTTTAGTATCTTTAAACCAGGATAGTTCTCAGTGGGTTTACTATTTTTATGATGCTGGGAAGACACTCAACACTTCACAGCAAAGATAAGCAGAGCTGAAAATCTTTTAATTTACAAATCCAGTTCCATAAACCAATTTACTGGGATGGTGCTGAGGCAAAATTGAAGTGACAAAGGGAAAGCAAGGCAGGGAAGGGTGAGAGATGGATTCAGAGAACATTTTGTCAACCACTGATGCATGAGGGGTAAATTAAGGGCTTTCCCCTTTCTCCAGCTCTTGGGGTTGATGGTGCTGATCCTTAGGTGTCCCTGCCTCGCTTGGCTGGCTGTGCTTCACCACCCACCTTGGCCAGGCATTCTCCCTCCTTTGTAGGGACCTGTCTCTGGGCAGCACAGTCGGTTTTGTTCCCAAGAAGCAGAACAGCCACTCCATCCTCTGCTCCTTCCTGAGTGAGAAAGTAGGGAAGATCAGAACAGCTTCAAAATCGTCCTTGAATCCCGGCTGGCCACACTTTCTACACAAATCCTGGAACACCATGACTGACACCCACGGATTTGGGCTAAGAACAAAACTTTAAATAATTGAATAATTTCAACAGCATTTAAGATTTATTTTTTTTCTCCTTAAATCATCTGCCTATGTCAATTAACATGACAGAGCACTGGATGAGTTACACTTGTAATGAATTCACTTTGTTCTCAACGGCAGCAGTCTTTGAAGGTGCTCTAGGCGGGATTTACAGGCACCAAGTGAGGCAATATCCTATTTTGTTTCAGCATTTTTAAACACTGGCTTCATGTCAACTGTAAATCTCTGAAAAGAAGTTTTTAATAGGCCTTGAATAACCTCTCATTCCCTAGGACTCAAAGTGGACTGTTCTTGATGTAAAAGCAACATTTTCCATTCCTTTCCACTAGTTTTTAATTGTTTGAGTTTATCATTACCCTACTGGTTCTATCAACAAATTACCCTGGGAAACACTGCCAGCATGTGAGAATCACTTGTATCTTCCTTAAATCCTCCAGGAAAAAAATTATTTTATAATGAAAGTGTGAAAAATGCGTATTTTATGATTGGCTTTTCGCAAATATTAAAATAAATATTATATGTGTTGTGTTAGAAAGTAATGCTGTATTAATTCTCTTAAGTAGTATATTAGATATCATTTTAGGTTATAACATAATGTTAAAATAGAAACTGTGCTATGTAGGATAGTTTTTTCCTAAAGAAAAGACTCACACTGAGATAGCAGCCACAGGACACCTGAATCTTTCAGAGAAAGAGAATTTATTGCTCCATTATCAGGAGAAACGAACTTCTTCCTGCCTTGCTAGGACAGGATGACACCATCAGGATTAAGAAGAGGAAGTTGATGATGACCAGACAGAATCCTGTGTTTGAATGGAATTTATGCATCATGGATGAGGTGTATGAATATGCAACAGGCCGTTGCTTTTAAGGGTTAATCGTGGGTCCTTTTTTGGGCTTATGCTGCCCAGAAAGAGGTACCTAGAGGTCCATAACTCTTTGTTTCTATTGTCTCATATTGCCCTAATTCAAATCGTCCAAATTATTATTACTCTAATTGTATTGCTATTTTTATAATCATTTTATTACCATTAAACTTTTAAAATTTTAAAACCAAGTGATTGACATTTTTTCCACACTATCAACAAATTACCCCGGGAAACACTGCCAGCGTGTGAAAATCGTTTGTATCTGCGTTAAATCCTCCACAAAAAAAAATTATTTTATAATGAAAGCAATGCAGAATACCCTTTCCAAAGGGCTTGGCCACTCCTGTCAGTCCCAAGAGCTTTTCACCGCCCCCACCTGGATGCAGCTGAGCCAGTAGCGCACGTCGGAGAAGGAGTACTCGGAGGTGATGTCGTACATCAGCACCACCCCGTCCGCCTTCCGGAAAAACTGCTTGGTCATGCTGCGGTACCTGCGGGCATTTGGGATGATCACCAGCACGGTCTGAGGAGGTTCTGCCTACGTGTGATGTGAAATCCTAGCGGGAAAGGTGGGAACGCACGTCTACAAAACAGGCAGCCCCCACATTTGGCTCTTGTCCTGATGGCAGGGGCCATAGGAACAGCCTGAGCGCCAGTTTTATCTTAATTACTTCCTTTATTATGCTTTATCAGATCACATACTGTACAGAGTCCCTCCTTGAGCAATCTCACCTTTGCTTAGCAAAGCAAAGGATAGCAATTGCCCCTAAACTACAGGGAAAAAAATCCCAGTTTGTGTCCTTAAGCAGCACCAGCACCTTAGCAAAGCAAAGGATATCAATTGCCCCTAAACTACAGGGGAAAAAAATCCCAGTTTGTGTCCTTAAGCAGCACCAGCACCTCACCTTTCCTGACCAGCTGAGTCCCACAGGCGCAGAGCAAAGCGCTTGTTATCCACAACGAGGTTTTTGATCTGGTAATCCAGTCCTGGAAAACACAAAAGAAAATATTTTGATACTGTATTTTGAGTTCTGCCCTGTGACAGAAGATGGATGGAGAAGAAACATGGTGCAGGGTGGTCTGAGGCTGCAGCTCCAGGGGTTGGTCCCAAGTGAGCCTCTGGCTTTGAGATGTTTAATCACTGGATTTTGGGAAGGTCTGTCATCTCATGATGAATAAAACCAGGACGGTGAGGAAAGGAGAATGGAGCTGAAAGGCAAAGCAGAGAGGAGAGCACTGGGCCACTGCTGCAAGGAAGGACAAGGAGAAGCAGCATTTCCTGCCCATGAGCACCCAGGCGTGGGGACTTGGTGGTTCTGCTTGGCCCCTGGGGACTGCTCGTACACCACGCTTGGTGTGAGCTGTAACAGGCGTGTGGGGACCACCAGCAGCGTGTGGGGTGGAGGAAAGGGAACTGCAGCTGTGATCTAAGGGAGTTCTTGGAGGGGGCTGGAGGAGACCTACCCACAGTGGCCGTGAGGTGAGGGTTGAAGGTGTCGGCGTGCAAACGGTACAGGAACGACGTTTTGCCCACGTGGGAGTCCCCCACAAACAGCACGTTGTACAGGTGGTCTGGGTCCAGGGCAGCTTTAGGACAACCCTGTGGGGCAGCTCCTGCCCCAGCTGCAGTCACAGCCCCTGAGCTGGGCTCACCTTCCTGGCTCATTTTCTCACCAAATTCTTGCATCTTCTCTCTTTGACCAACACTGATGTCTTTGCTCTGCTCTCCCAAGAGCTGCCTTTGCCCCAGTGAGTTTTCTCTGAGGACCACCCCCAGCTGATCATTCCCAGCATCTCCTGGTTGCACTGCCTTGTGCAGTGGTGATGCTGGTGGCACCTCTTGCTTGGGATGCTCAGCAGGTCCAGCAGCCGTGTGCTCCGGTTCCCTCGTGGGTGGTGTCTCCCCCTCTGGCTGTTGGGTCACCTTGTGAAGCCTCCCCTCATGTCCCTGTGCTGAAACCTGCTCCTGAGGCTCCCTTTGGGCTGCCTGTCCCGGAGCACAAAGCCGCCACACATCTGGAATGAGAACATCCTCCTGCATCATCGTTTCCAGCTTTAGGGGGCTGAGTTGTGACAGCACCTCGGAGACCAGGGAGGCCAACTCAGCATCATCATGGCCCTGGTTTAGTCCTAGACCCTGAGTTTTCACTCCATTCCTCACCCCTGCCTCCAGCCTCTCTCCCTGTGCCACTTCCAGACCATGAGCTCCATCCAGAGGCTTCCCCTCTGCAGGAGCCCTCTCTCCCTGCAGTAATTCCTGTGCCTCCAGAATCTGCCCCTCAGGAGCAATGCACGCTCCCAGTTTTGCCTCCAGACCGGGGCCCTCTGCAGCAGTGGCAGCCTCAGCTGGAGGGGGCACATCTGCAGCAGCAGCCCCTTCCCATGGCTTTGCAGTGGGAGATGTCCCCAGAACTGCCTCCAAACCTGGAGTCAGGCCCTGCTCCCCTTCCCACAACCCAGCTACACCCAGGGGTGTCAGATCTGCCTCTGTGCTCCCTCCTGAGCCTGATTTGGGCATCTGCTGGTCTGTGAACAGCTGCACACCAGCATCAGTGCTCTGGGCCTCCAGTGTGTGCAGCCTTCCAGCCTCCTCCTGTGGCTGTGCACCAGGCCCCTCTCCCTGCTGGTCTCCTGCTTCTTCTGGAGCAAGCACAGACTCCTGTGGCAGCCCATTCTCACCTGGTACGTCTGCCCCACCCTCCTCTTCCTCCTCATTTTGAAGGGCTCCTCTCCCCTCCACCCATGGAGCCCCTGAGCTGAGACCCTCTGAGAGCTGCAGAATTGCCTGGGCATCCTCTGCCTCCCCTTCCACCCCTTCCACTAACTCTGCTTTATCCTCCTGGTCCAGGTGCTGCACCTCTGGATCCACACTCCCTCCCTGCTCTGTCCCTGAGGATCCAGCCTCATTCCAGACCTGCAGATTTGCCTCTGTGCTCCCTCCTGGGCTCACTCTGAGCTCATCCCCCTCTGCCATCAGCTGCACATTGGCACCACTGCTCTGCTCCTCAGTAGTGTCCAGGCGTTCAGCCTCTTCCTCTGCCTGCAAGTCTTCATCAGCCCCTTCACCATGCTCAGCTCCTGATCCCTGCAGATCAAGCTCAGGCTCGTGTGACAGCCCATGCTCACCCTGTCCTTGTGCCCCATCCTCCTCCTCCTCCAGCTGAGCAGCTCTTTCACCTTCCCCTCCCCATGGAGCCCCTGGGCTGGGACCCTCATGGAACACCATATCTGCCTGGGCATCCTCTGCCTTCCTTTCCAAAACCTCTGCTTTATCCTCCTGATGCAGAGGCTGCACCTCTGGATCCAGTTTCCCTCCCTGCTCTGTCCCTGAGGATCCAGCCTCACCCCAGACCTGCAGATTTGCCTCTGTGCTCCCTCCTGGGCTCACTCTGAGCTCATCCCCCTCTGCCATCAGCTGCACATTGGCACCAGTGCTCTTGTCCTCAGCAGTGTCCAGGCTTTCAGCCTCTTCCTCTGCTTGCATGTCTTCACCAGCCCCCTCTCCCTGCCTGACCCCTGATCTGTCCATATCAAGCTCAGGCTCATGTAGCAGCTCATCCTCACCCTGTCCTTGTGCCCCATCCTCCTCCTCCAGCTGAGCAGCTTTTTCACCCTCTCCTCCCTGTGGGCCTTCTGGGCTGGAATCCTCATGGAACACCATATCTGCCTGGACATCCTCTGCCTCCCCTTTCACCAACTCTGCTTTATCGTCCTGATGCAGGGACTGCACCTCTGGATCCAGTTTCCCTCCCTGTTCTGTCCCTGAGGATCCAGCCTCACCCAAGGGCTGCAGATCTGTCTCTGTGCTCCCTCCTCGGGTCAGTCTGAGCTCATCCCCCTCTGCCATCAGCTGCACATTGGCACCACTGCTCTGCTCCTCAGTAGTGTCCAGGCTTTCAGCCTCTTCCTCTGCTTGCATGTCTTCATCAGCCCCTTCACCATGTTCAGCTCCTGATCCCTGCAGATCAAGCTCAGGCTCGTGTGACAGCCCATGCTCACCCTGTCCTTGTGCCCCATCCTCCTCCTCCAGCTGAGCAGCTCTTTCACCTTCCCCTCCCCATGGAGCCCCTGGGCTGGGAACCTCATGGAACACCATATCTGCCTGGGCATCCTCTGCCTTCCCTTCCACCAACTCTTCTTTACCCTCCTGATGCAGAGGCTGCACCTCTGGATCCACGCTCCCTCCCTGCTCCTTCCCTGAGGATCCAGCCTCACCCAAGGGCTGCAGATTTGTCTCTGTGCTCCCTCCTTGGGTCAGTCTGAGCCCATCCCCCTCTGCCATCAGCTGCACAATGGCACCACTGCTCTGCTCTTCCACTGTGTCCAAGCTTTCAGCCTCCTCCACTGGCTGCACACCTCCATCTGTCCCCCTTCTCTGTCTGATGGCCACTCCAGATGGGTCAGGCACCAGCTCCTGCATCTGCCCACGCACACCCTGTCCCTGTCCCCCATCCCTGGGCTGCACAGCTGCACAGAGCTCCCCTCCACGGGGAGTTTCTGGGCTGGCAGTCACACACAGCTGAGTGTCTGTCCAGGACTCCTCTGCCTCCCTTTCCACTACCTCTGCTTTATCCCCCTGATCCAGGGACTGCACATCTGGAGCCACATTCCCTCTCTGCTCTGCCCCCGTGGAGTCAGTCTGGATTAAGGGCTGCAGATCTGCCCCTGTGCTTTCTCCTGAGGCTGATTTGAGCTCATCCTCCTCTGCAATCAGCAGCACATTGGCACCACTGCTCTGCTCCTCAGTAGTGTCCAGGCTTTCAGCCTCTTCCTGAGCTTGCATGTCTTCATCAGCCCCTTCACCATGCTCAGCTACTGATCCCTGCAGATCAAGCTCAGGCTCGTGTGACAGCCCATGCTCACCCTGTCCTTGTGCCCCATCCTCCTCCTCCTCCAGCTGAGCAGCTCTTTCACCCTGACCTTTCCATGGGCTTCCTGGGCTGGGACCCTCATGGAACACCATATCTGCCTGGGCATCCTCTGCCTTCCTTTCCAAAACCTCTGCTTTATCCTCCTGATGCAGAGGCTGCACCTCTGGATCCAGTTTCCCTCCCTGCTCTGTCCCTGAGGATCCAGCCTCACCCAAGGGCTGCAGATTTGCCTCTGTGCTCCCTCCTTGGGTCACTCTGAGCTCATCCCCCTCTGCCATCAGCTGCACATTGGCACCACTGCTCTGCTCCTCAGTAGTGTCCAGGCTTTCAGCCTCTTGCTGTGCTTGCATGTCTTCATCAGCCTCCCCTCCCTGCCTGACCCCTGATCTGTCCATATCAAGCTCAGGCTCGTGTGACAGCCCATACTCACCCTGTCCTTGTGCCCCATCCTCCTCCTCCTCCAGCTGAGCAGCTCTTTCACCCTCCCCTCCCCATGGGTTTCCTGGGCTGGGACCCTCATGGAACACCATATCTGCCTGGACATCCTCTGCCTTCCTTTCCAAAACCTCTGCTTTACCCTCCTGATCCAGGGGATGCACATCTGGATCCACATTCCTTCCCTGCTCTGTCCCTGAGGATCCAGCCTCACCCCAGACCTGCAGATTTGTCTCTGTGCTCCCTCCTGGGCTCACTCTGAGCTCATCCCCCTCTGCCATCAGCTGCACATTGGCACCACTGCCCTGCTCCTCAGTAGTGTCCAGGCTTTCAGCATTCTCCTTTAGCTCTGGCCCTGCACCAGCCCCCTCCCCCTGACCCAAGGTCACCCCAGTGGGATGAGGCACTGGCCCATGTGGCAGCCCCTGCTCACCCTGTCCTTGTGCCCCATCCTCTTCCTCATTCTCTGGGAGCTGAACAGCTCTTTCCCCCTTCCCTCCCTGGGGGTTTTCTGGGCTGGGACCCCCAGAGAGCTGCAGATCTGCCTCCACCAGTGCCTGAGACGTACCTGGGAACAGCCCACACCAGTCTGGGCTGCCCACAGGTGTTTCTGCAGGGGAAGGACCCTCACTGTGCACTGCAGCAGCCCCTGTTTCTTCTCCCAGCCCTACCTCTGGTTTTTCCTTCTCCAGCTGCACTCCTGGATCCACACCCCCTCCCTGCTGTGTCCCTGGGGATCCAGCCTCACTCCAGCCCTGCAGATCTGCCTCCACCTCTGCCAGCAGCTCCATGTTGGTGCTGCTGGGGGCCTCCATCAGTTCCACATCTGTTCCCCCTCCTCCCTGCCCGTGGGTGGGTGGCAGAGCCACTGCCAGTGGCTCCAGAGCACCCACACTCCCTCTGCACCCTGCACCTCCCCTGGCACACTCACCCTGCAGCTGCTGCTCTGCCTCCCTGGGCTCTGCTTCCTCCACCTCCTCTTCCTCGTCCCTGGCTCTGCTGCTCCCTGCATGCTCAGCTGGGGCTGGCAGCGCCTCCAGCACTTTGGAGTCCGTGGTCTCTCCCTGGGGCTGCACCTCCATCCTGGCACGCTCCTCATCCAGCACTCCTGGGCCTGGAGCCACTGGCACCTCAGGGACACCACCCCCACGGGCTGCTCCCGCTTGTGCCTCACCCCAGGATGGGGGCTGTGGCTCCAGGGGCTCTCCCAGCTCAGTTTCCAGTTTCCCTGGGAGCCCCAGTGTGGGGTCAGCCTGTTCCTGCAGCTCTGTGCCCAGGGCCTGCACCTCCAGTGTCCTCCCTGGCTGCTGCTCATCCATGGCAAGGCACTGTCCCACTGCTACACCTTCCTGCCCAGCCTCAGGTGGCCCCAGACCTGCCTCCAAATCTTCTCTCTGGCTTATCTCCACTTCCTCAACTTCTCCCAGGAGCTGTGGTTCTGCCCAAGCCGTTGTTTCCTGCAGCCACCCTGCTCCTTCCACCTCCATCAGGACCTGCTCTGCTGCCTCCATGCTCTCTCCCAGATGCTCAGCCACGTTCAGCACCATCTCCTCCACACCAGCACCCTTTCCTTGCAGGAATAACATCCTCTGTGCCTCCTCTGGGCTCTCTCCCTGCTCTGCCCCTGGCTCCTGAGCCGTGCAGTGCCCGGCTCCTGCGGACGCACCAGCCTGTGTCACATCCAGAGCACGAAGCTCAGCTGTGCCTGCTCCCTCCTGCAGGTCTCCTTCCAGCAGCTCACGATGCATGTGGCCAGGGAGGGTCTCCTGCAGGACCCCAGGGGTTGTTTCATGGGCTGTGGCTGCCTCTGTCCCCGTGTGGGGCTCAGCATTGTCCCAGGGGTGACAGGCAGTGTCTGCCAGGGCAGGGGGTGCACCCAGTGCCTGTGCCTTCAGATGTTTGCTCAGAGCTGCTATTGCATCATTCATCTCTCTTAGCAAAGAGCTTTGGTCAGAGACACCTTCCTCTTTCAAAGGTTCTGGGAAGGGGTCCTCTTCTGCAGAGCTTGCATTCTGTGGGGCTCCTGAAAGGTTTGTTTCTGCTGGCAGCATTTCCCAAACCCTGGAAAGGGCAGAAAAGGGGGGCAATGAACCAGCTCCCAGGTCAGGCTCCAGCTCCCTCCCATCCCCAGTCAGTCCCAGAGGGTTTCTGATCTACAGCCTCGCCCCATCCCTCTCCAAACCTGATTTTATTTCCCCCCATTGCACTTGGAGTTCACACAGGCAGCAATGGGGGCAGGGGAAGGGGGATGCACACACAGGCAGCCAGACCCAAGGCTGCATCCTGGCCTCTTCCCAGTACCCATATTGACATTATCAGACAGGAAAAGACAATTCTCAGCCAGGTACAGCCAGTTCCTGAGCCAAGGGAGTGATGAGCTGGGATAAGAGGTGTGAGCTCCGTGGTGAGAGATGAGTGGGTGGGAGAGAAGCGCTACAAGGACAAAATCTCATTGTTTGCCTGGGGAGGGTGGAGGGAGGGCCTGGGGCTCAGCCCCAGCTCTCAGACCCCAGGGGCACACAGGGGACCCCTTACACTTGGTGGGGGCTCTTGGCTTTGCCCTCGCTGCTCTGGGATCCCAGCCTGATCCGCATCTCAGAGCGGAACTTCTCACTCTTCCCAGGACTCAGCTGCAGGAAACAGGGTGGGAGGAGGAGAGAAAAATACACTTGGTGAGGGAGAATATCCACCTGAAACGATGTGCAAGTATCCAGCTGTACCCACCCAAAATCTTGGAGGTACAGGAAGTAAGGTGCTGCAACCCCCTCCCTTCCCAAACATCTGCACCAGCCCCGTTTGAGAGAGATTTTAGGGGAGGCAGTGCTGCAGGTGCTCCCTGTGCTTTTGAGCTCCTCAGCAGTCCCAAACAGAGCAGCACAAGGCCCTGGACCTGTCCCCACACACCCAGCTGAAGTACCTGGGGGGACATTGGCACCACGATGGGTAACTCTGCCACCACTCTGTCCCTGCAAACACAGAGCACAAGGGTCAAAACAGGAACTCCATCCCCTTCACCACATCCACCCCAGCACCAGGGCTGTCAGGGCAGTGATAGGGCAGGTCAACAAAACCCACAGTCCTTGGATCAGTCCTGTTGAGCCCTCCTGGGTGAAGGACACCTGTCACAGACATCTTTTATGAAAAATCCTTTCCTTAGGATTTTTCCTCCTGAGAAGCTGAGAGGCCTCAGGAACAAAATGTAACCAATGGTTATCTGCTGCTGTGGGATGCAACAGGTACATCTGGGATTGGCCCATGTTAGATGTTTCTAATTAATGGCCAATCACAGCCCAGCTGGCTCGGACAGAGAGCTGAGCCACAAACCTTTGTTATCATTCTTTCCTATTCTATTCTTAGCCAGCCTTCTAAAGAAATCTTTTCTTCTATTCTTTTAGTATAGTTTTAATATAATATATATCATAAAATAATAAATCAAGCCTTCTGAAACATGGAGTCAGATCCTCATCTCTTCCCTCACCCAAAACCCACTGTGAACACGGTCACAGACACCCACATCTCTCTGGCACTGCCCTCCAGGCACACATTCATGGTGCTGATAGTCCTGCTTTCTCCTCTGATGCTTTGCACACCAAGCCACAGTTAACCTGCACCATGGGCAGCACTGGAGCACCGTGATGCCTGAGGCCCATCCAACTCATTCCCCATCCAGGAGGAAATGATGTCTGTGGGGAACACAGAGTGACACACGGTCACTCAGCCACTCACCTGGGCTCCCCCATGTGCTCCCAAGCCACTGTAGCCCTCATGGTCCTCAGGTGGCCCTGGGTGTGCTGCAGCTGCTGGTGCAGGTGCTGCAGGTGCTGCTGCAGGGCCTGGTTGCTCTCCTGCAGCTGCTGGTTCTCCGTGCTGGTCGCTTGCTGGGAGCTCTGGAGGCTGCGGCAGCGCCGCTCCAGCTGGGGGATGGCAACCAGGACACTCAGAGCCAAAAATCCCCACGCAAAAGAATTCACAACCATCTCCTCTAGAACAGGGCTGAATTTCACACCACCCCCCCACCCTGAGGATGTAGGGGGATACAGTATGGGTGAATGAAGGTGGTATAGAATGCAATCTTATCCACTAAAGAGTTGCAGCTGAACCAATTACTAAAGATTAGGAGCAGGCCTGATGTTAACAGGCCACACCTGTAGCCAATCAGAAGAGTGTTATTAAAGAGTGGATTGGTGGGATCTGGAGTCAGTTGGCTGCTGTCAGGACCAGGAAGAGGCAGTGCCTAGAGGAGCTGCCTATGAGAACCATCAAGGCAGTACAAAACTCCAGCAATATGGAACCCTTTCAATGTAATGACAATAGAACCCTTGCACTATAATGACAACATGAGGATGGTGGATGGGAAACTCAGCTTGTGTCCTCGGGGGATGGAGGGGAGGGCAGGGATGGGGAGTAGCGGGTCCTGTGTGACAGCCTGCAGCCAGGGGTGGTGGGGACACACCAGAACAGGCTGTGCAGCAGCATGGGGGTGTTACAGCACAGCCCGGAGACCCCTGGCTCACAGAGGGGGGGTTGGGGGCAGCCCACCTCCATCTGAGCTGTGACCAAGCGCTGCACCTCCCTCTCGCTGGCATCCAGCGCTCGCTGCAGCTCCTCGCCCTGCTGGCGGCTCCGGGCCGTGCTCTGGGTGGCACAAGGACGCTGGCACCCTCGGACCCACCGGCAGCTGCCCAGCGGGTCCGGGGTGCTGGGTCCCCGGGGCAGGGACAGGAGGAGCTGGGCACGCACCTGCTGCTGCAGCCGCAGCTGCTCCTGCTGGATCTGCTGCTCCAGGGCCTCGCAGAGCTGCTGCACGTCCTTGTCGTGCTCGGCCACACGCCTGTGGTGACAGCAGGGCCGGGCAGGGGGGTGAGAGCCGCTCCAGGACCCCGCAGTGCCCTCGGAGCCTCGGGATGCCGGGCTGGGTTTGCCCGAGGGTGTCCCCCAGCACGGATGTGTCCGGCAGTCCGTCCGGCCCTTTTGCCATCGCTTCCGTGACTGTAGAGGGAGCCCGACCCCAAACATTGGCAGAACCTCTGCTCCGGCCGCTGGTGGAGATGCTGAAGGCATCCAGGTTTCTCCACACGGCTGGGGTGGCCCTCCAGGGCCCCATCCCTGTCCCCATCCCTCCTGTCCCATCCCTGTGCACTATCCTGGGGTCACTCACCTGTTCAGAGTCAGCTCCAGAGCCTCCTTCTCCCTCCTGGCTTCTTGGATGCGCTGCCTCATCTTGGCCAGGAATCCCTCCAGGTTGTCCAGCAGCTGGGGCTCGTCCTGCCGGAGCTTCACCCAGAGCTGCCAGATCTCCTGTCTGCAGGGACAGGGGTGTTGTGGGGTGAGCATCCCCCCAGAACCCCCAAAGCCAGGCCAGCTGAGTCACTGAACTCACACTTTTTGAGGTGTGTGAGCTCTGGGGTTGCTGTGACCCCGCTCCTGTGCTCAGGCCCAAGGCACCTCCGCGCCATTTCTGAGCTCCCTGCCCCAAGCTTTCCCCCTCTATCCATCCTGCAGGACACCCACGGGTGCCAAGCAGGGCACTCACTCTTCAGAGGGGTTGTCTGTGCCCAGCTGCTCTATGAAGGCTCTGAAGTGCCTGCTCTCCTCGCTGTCCCCCTGTTCCAGCACTGGGCTGGGCAGCACCAGCCTCACCCTCCGCGACGCCGTCTTCCTCCTCCGGTGCTCCCTGGCAGCATTTTGGGAGCTCAGGAACTGCCCTGCTGACAGATATCCCAAATCCTCAGTGCCCAGCAGGGCAACAGCAAAGCCCAACACCAACATTTCCCTCTCCACGGCTTCAACAAAGCGGTTCAGCACAGCAGGACCCTGCTCCTGGTGAGCCAAGGGCTGAGAGCTGGTCATGGGGATGATTCATCCTGTGCCACACAGCAAAGGCAGCACCTCATCCCCCAGGAGAGCCCTGGGACCGTGTCCAGGACCAGCCCAGGCTGCACTTACGGAGCCCGGCCGTGAACTCCTCTGTGCCCAAGCGCCCGGTGCCAGCAGCATCCAGCCCATCAAACACCAGCTCCAGCTCCTCCCTGCTGCACGGCAAACCTTCCTCCTGCAGCTTCTAAAACCAAAGCAAACCAGGGTAAAACCCACCTGTCACAGCATCTGCAGTGACCGTGGCAGTGCTGGAGCCCAGGGCACAGCCCCATCCTCACCTGCACGTCCGAGCGGGTGACGACTCCTGCCTGCTCCGTGTGCCTGGTGCTGAGCAGCTGCTGCACCCTCTGCACTATCTCAGATGCCCATGGTGGCTCCTCACTGGGGCTGGGTGCTGGTGCCTGCCCAGGGCCCTCCTGCAGCTGCTTGCGCCGGCTGGAGCCCAAGCGCCGGCCCTTGGTGCCCGCCCGGCGCTCGGACATGGCCTGGCCTGGCCTGGCGGGGACACTCGGGCAGCCCTGCCCTCACTGGGCACCTCTGCTCCAGCCTGGTGGGAGACAGCAGAGAGGCACCAAGCTGGAAGTTCATTTTGCTGCTGTCAAGGGCCCAAACCTCGATTGCTGAGGAGAGTTTGGCAACAGGAAGGGAAGGGAAGGCCTTATCTCTGATTGCACGGCACGGATGGAGCCTGGATCTGCAGCAGCAACAGCTGCTCCTGCCAGCCCCCCCAGGGGCTCCCAGCCTGCTGAACACTCCTGCCACCAGCCAAGCACCCATCCCAAATCTCCCCAAACCTTTCCCATGGAAATCTCTTCCCTGGCTGTGGAGGATGCACAGAGCACAAGGGTAAGCCAGGAGGTGACACAGCAAGGAAGTGACACCAGGAAAGGACCAGCCAAGGTGATGCTGGAGGTCTGAGCAACATGTGCTGGTCCCACCTGCCTTCTCAGAGCTCAGCAGCACCTTTTAAAGTCCTCCCCCAGTTTTCACAGCTGTGAGTCACCTCCGGGCAGAGCGCAGGAGCCCTTGGCCGGTTTCCACCACGCTGCTGCTCGCCCAGGCTCGTGGGGCCTGAGCTGGGGGCCCCAGTGCCCTGTCCCCAGCCTGGGTGGGTGGCCCTGTCACCAAGAGCCACCATGCCATCCCCTAGGGGGGCTGCTCTTTGTGTGGCAAAGCTGAAACTGTGAGGGAAGGAAACCGTGGGGAGCGGTGACGCAGAGCCGGGGCCACGCTGGGTCTGGCTGAGCCCAGCTCTCCCCTCCCAGCCTGGGGGGACAGCAGCTCCTCCAGCCCTCTGCCCCCTCCCTTTGCCATGAGAAACAGGTCCTGCTGAATCCCAGTGTGCATCAGAAATGGGAACAGAGCCCAAAACCAGCCCCAAACCCTTAAAACAAGAAGAGGGTCTTGTGGAGTTGCTGGAGTCCCACAGGACCAGAAACAGCCTTGTGGTGGTCCCAGCCTCTAAGACAGCAGAAGCAGGAGCTCTGGGGGGCAGGGGGGTTGTTCAAGGCATGGAGAAGCCCCTGGTTCCTGTTCCAGCTCCAGGGCAAGTGAGCTAAGCCCACAGCATGATGGAGGTGCTGAACGAGCAGGGGGATGGGGTGGGGTGGGATGGGATGGGATGGGATGGGATGGGATGGGATGGGAATTGTGGCCCCCACCCAGCCAAGCAGGGCCCCCATGGCATCCCCAGCTCCCAGTGTTCTGCGTCCCTCCACAGCACCCTGCACTGCTCCCAGCCCTCAGAAAGGAGCCCCAGCCACAGCCCCTCACAGGCAGCAGGAAAAAACCCCCTTGGATCACAACAGCAAGAAAAAACCCCTTATTTCCCTCACTTTTCTCTTCCTGAAGGTGATGCCCAAGCCAGCCCCCGAGCAGCAGGACTTACCCTGCCCACGAGGGACGCTCAGAGTGGGGCACAGGGGCTCCCCAGCTCAGAGGGACGGAGCTGCCTCTGCTCTCATCTCTCTTTCTCAAGGCACCTTCCGTTCTGGGTGACACCAACTGCCGGTGCTCACACATTTCCTGTTTGCTGCCTTGCAAGGGGGATGTGGGAAGGAGCCATCCAGAGGGTCACAGTGTCCCCAGAGTGCCCAGGTCCCAAGGCAGCTCTGCAAAGGCACTGCCAGTGCCATCAGGAAGGGCAGCAAAGTCTCCATCCTTTCCTGGTTTGCCATGTCTGGGGCTGGAGGGGGTTTGGAGTGGGGGGAAGAACAGCAGACAAAGAAAAAATGTTATTTTAAGACTCCAAATAACCCAAAATATAAGATTATCTACAGCCTCCAGATTATAACATCCTACCAAAGACAGAACAACCTGAAAATCCCTCCTGTGGAGGCTCTTTGCCCCCAGAATTTGAAGATGTCCCTCCTGTGCTGTTCTCTGATGTTTTTTTTAAGGCTCCTGCCTGAATTATAAACGTGGCTTTAAACCCACTGTCTGGTCATGGGCTGCAGCCACTCTTCCTCATGAGGGACAGGGGAATCAGATGGACCAGAGGCATTTTTCCTGCTCTTTAGCTGCAAAACATGAAGAGAACACAGGCAGGAGGAAACTCTGTCATCTCTAGGGCATAACTCAAACAAACATCCCCTGGCCCACAGCAGAGCCCAGGGCAGGAGCTGTGGGCTGGGAGCTGATGCCTGTCTTGGTTTGGAAAGCCAGGAGTCTGCTGAGGAAGGCAGGAGCCTCCCCTGAAATGGAGAATGTAAACCCTCCCCACCCCTGTGAATTGCTGTAAATTTTAAATTAAGGGGCTCTCAGGCAAAAATATGGGAGCAGGAAATAACAGTTCTTTAATAGGGAAGAAAAAAATAAAAGGATAAAATAAACAATGCAGTAAACCAAAACAACACTGCCAGAGTCAGAACCCAGCCTGACACCCTGTGGGTCAGGGTGTGGGCAGCAGAACCATTGGAATTGTGGCTCAGCCCTCCTGCAGTGCCAGGGCTGGTTCTGCTGGAGCAGGGATCCTGGAGAAAGGTGCAGTCTCTGCCTCTGAAGATCCAGGGGCAGAGGCAGCTGCTGTTCCTCTGGGCAATGCAGTGCAGAAGCTGTGCTGGTGTTCCAGAATCTCCAGATTATATCCAGGTAGGAATGCTTGGCTCCTCCCTCTGGGCTCACATCTGCCAATGGGATGCTGTAGCTCTTATCAGCCATGCAGGGACACTCAATAGCTGTTATCAGCAGATGTCTCCCTGAGGGAGGAGTGATTGTGGTCACTCAAAGAGAGAGATAAGGCAAACTGCCCTCTTGACAAAAGATAATCTGCCATATAGATGGTAATAGAGAACATCTTGCCTTGCAATCTGGAACAATGCCCCAGCTCTCTCTGCCCACCTAAACAGGTGAAATCCCTCTGGGAACCAGCCACACCCTGCTCATTTGCTGTCTAACCTAAGGGAGCAGCAGCCAGCTCAGGTCCATCTGCTCCATCAGGGCCAGATTAAGCTCAGCTGGTTCTTCTCCACACTCTGGGCAAAGCTGCTGCTGCTGCTCACCCCAAACTGAAGCATCCCCTTAGTCAGGCTGTGCCCTCACCCTCCAACCCTCTGCAATGTTTGCTGCTGCACAGAAAGGCTGGGTTTTGGCTTTCCCCAAGGATTTGAGGAGAAAATTTTCCTTTTTGAAGGGAAAACCCTAAATATCCCTGGGATAGCTTGATTTGTGCCCTCTGCCCAGCAAGGCTCTGGCATCATGCTTCCAGTGGCTCAGCAATGGTCACCACAGCCCAGGGGGGAGGGCACAATCCAACCCCAATGAGACCCCCAATGAAAGGGGATTGATGTGGACAAGGGAAGGGAAGCACCTGAACCTCCCCCTGTGAGGGTTTGACCCTCAGCATCCCTGCTCTGTGCTGAGGCTGGGCTGGGAGCAGCAAACACAGCCTGGGCTGGGAGTGGGAGGTTTCCATCCTTTCCCCAGCTGCCATCACTGCTTTGTGTCCCAAAGCTGGGGGGACACAGTCCTGGGGTGTCCTGGGGACTCAGAGCTCAACCCTGCAGAGTCCAGCCTGGCTGTCCCCAAAGCCACAAACACAGACAAGGGGGGTTCACTGATTTATTTCTCATTTCCTTCATTGCTCCTGCTCCTGGCAAGCAGGAGGTGACAGCAGAGGGGAGCTCCTGGCAGCAGCCAGGGGGGTTTGGAAGGACTGACGTAAGGGGAAAGATTACAGGGGCTAAATCTGTAGGGTTTGACTCAGCAGCAGCTCAAAGGCTGAGTGCGTGTCAAGGGTCTGTGAGGATGTCACCCCTCACTCCAGGGACAGGCAGAGGCTTTAGGGACCCTCAGCTGAGCAATGACACGAGGTTGTCATTGCCATCAGCTTTCTTTTCATCTGGATCCTCTGCAAATCTGGGCATTTCTCACAGGAACCAGAACCTGAGTCTGCATCCAAGGACTGAGACATCCCTGACGCCCCTGGGATCTCAGTGCCACCCAGAAAATGCACATTTCCAGCAGCAGTGCCAGCACATGCTCTTGTGTCCCCATCCCACAGCGTGGGTCACCCTTGTGGGCCCCCAGCACCCTTTAAAGGCACAGGGAGGGGAGCAGCTTGCCCATGGCTAATGGCCACAGGCTGAGGGGCAGGGGGGAGTCACAGTGGGGCAGGGGAATGATGGGGGCAACAGAGGAGCCACAGGGAGCCCCCAGGGACACCCCACACTGCTGGGGACACGGTGGCAGCACCAGACCATGGTCCCCAGGGAATGGGGTCAAGCACAGAGGTTGGGGCAAGGCTTGATTCCTCTCAGCCCTGGCAAAGGCAGATCCCAGCTCAGGGCTGCACCCCCAGAGGGATCCCCAGCCCCTGGAACACCCCCCTCCCTCAGCCAGGCCCTGCTCCCATCATCCACATTAACCCAGAATGCCTTTGCACAGCTGTTTATTCAGAGTTAACACGTACAGACAAAGAGGTCTTTCCCCACATAACTTCATAGCATTATTTTAAATATAAATAAACATTTAGTGCTGGGAGCTTGGAAGCTTCACCCACAGCAAAGTGCATGGTGGTGCAAGGTGGGAGATGAACCCTGTCCCTTTTCTTCCTGGGACCATCTTGCACCAGTTTCCAGAGTCCAAATCCAGCAGAGCAGCAGATGAACTCCATGAAAGTGCCAAGATCTGACAGTGTTGAGTCCCTCAGGGACTCATCCTTCAGTGCTGGAACTGAGCAGCCTCTGCTCCAGGCCATCCTTGGTCCCAGAGCAGAGCCAGGTGAGGGTCCTCTCCTGGCCAGCCCCAAAGGAGAAAGAGTCCAGGAAAACAAGCTACAATTCCTTATTTCAGCATCATCCATGCTGCTGAGAAGAACTTCTTCCTAGAGGAGCCCAGCAGAGCCAGAGCAGGGGCTCCCCAGCCTGGTCAGTGTCGGGGCAGGCAGGGGCATGGGGGCAAGCAGTACCTCTCAACAAGCCAACAGCAAGGAGAGAAAATGGGATTTGGGGCCAGCAGAGTGCAGGGGATCCCAAAGCCTCCCGGGGGCACTGTTGGTCCCCCATGGCTGCTCCCAGGGAAGGTTTGTCCCGGGAACAGCTTCCTCTGCCCAGAGCCGTGGGAAGGAGCAGCCTCCACATCTCTCTGCTCCCACACACGGACAAGTGCTCAGTCCATCCTGCTGGGACAGAGGGCACCCCTGTGCCGGCAGCAGGGCTGTCCCAGGGCTCTACAACCCACACCAGTGACATTTCTTAAAGATATCTGGTGCCACCAGGTGGCTGGGACACAAGTGTCCCCCGGGACCAGCCCCTAGGCAGGGGACAGACCACGGCAGGACAGCAGGACAGCACAAGGACGGTGCCTGGACCCACAGGCACGGGGCGCTTTTCTGCAGGCAGGGCAGTGCCTTCATCCCACCAGGTCCATCTCAGTCCTCCTTCAGCCCCACCGTGGGGCTCCTCCTCTACATTGCACACAGTGGAGGTCCCTCAGGACCCCAGAGCAACTCATAAATAGGAAACTACAGATCTACATTGCTACACGGAGCTCAGGGTGGGGAGCCACGCTCCTGGTGGCAGCGGCTGCCCCAGCGCGTCACGGCCGGGGCCGGGCAGGGACAATCCTCCTCTTGGCACTGTAGAAGTCTGGAAGGAAGAAGGAAAGGGTTGGAAAGTGGCTCCAGCCCGCTGGGAACAGCAGGGCAGGAAGAGGGAGGTGTCCCCAGGGAGGCACCCCAAGCCCAGGCCAGGTGGGTTTCACCCTAAAGCCCCCGTGCAAAGCTGCTGGAGAGCAGAGCTGTAAATCTGCATCATCTCTGCTGTTTGTCTCATCTGCAGTTCTACTTCAGGCCCTGACCATGGAGCCCAGGAAGAAATTTTTCACTGTGAGGGAGGTGAGACACTGGCACAGGTTGCCCAGGGAGGTTCTGGATGCTCCAACCCTGGAAGTGTTCAAAGCCAGGTTGGATGAAGGCCTTGAGCAACCTGGGCTAGTGGGAGGTGCTCCTGCCCATGGACCTTGAAGATCTTTAAGGTCCATTCCAACCCCTTAATATTCAGCGATTCTAGGATTGGGTCAGGCCATTGGAACTGAAGGTGATGAACTTGGGGGCATCTTCAGCTACAAAACCCACAGGCCCAATGTCAGTCCCCTGCACAAACCCCAGCAGCCAAGAGGCACCCAGCTGGGGGCCTTTTTCCCTTTGCAAGATGGGCTCTGCTTCCCTAGGAGACATCCAGGGAGGGTGGGACCCCTCCCCACGCCCAAGAGCCAGCAGGGCTCTGGCACCCAAGTCCCCTCTGTCTGTCCCTGCCATGACATCACCACCAAGCCCCCAAGGAGTGACACCAACCCCCAGTGCTCACCTTTGATTGTGGTCTGCCCACGTTTCTGCAGGGACCCAGCCCTGCAAACCTTCGAGCTCTGCTGAGCCTCCTCGGGGCAAATCCTGCCAACACGCTCCTTGGGGGGGACCCTGGTGGCCAGGGAGCTCCTGCTGTCACTGCTGATGACAGCCCTGACCAGGCTGTGAACCTGCTGGGGCGGCTGCTCAGCCACCAGCATCCTCTCCCACTTGAAGGGCCCTTCCAGGGGAGTCTCTGTCTCAAAGTTGAAGTTCCAGCGCTGCTGAGCTTCTTCCAGCTGTTGTTTCATCTGGTCCTCAAAGTCCTGCTGGAGCTGCTCGTGGTCCACAGGGCCAAAGAGGTTCCTGCAGGCTTTGGTGCTGCAGGGGCTCTGCCCAGCCCTGCTCTGGGACAGCGGCATCGTGGCGGCTGCGGGGAAAGCAGAGCGAGTTATGGGGCTGGGGTGACAGCAGCAAACACAGGGGAGCGCTGGCCACCAGGGCAAAGCAAGGCAGCCAAGGTGGGACCAGCTGGGCTGGGTCTGCACTGAGGCAGCCCAGAGGGGACTGACACATCTGGAGTCTGACTTTGGAGATTTTAGCAAAGGCTGGAGCATGGCTGAGGTCAGACACAGCCCAGCGCGAGACAGGAGGGTGGGGAAGGTGCAGATGTCAACGTTCCCTACTCCCCCTGCAGCAGGCAAAGCCCTGCCAGGTCAGAGCATCCAGCACCTCACTGCTCCACCCACGACAGCCCTGGGGGTGCCAGCCTCAGAGCCACAGCAGATGATGCTCCCCCAGTCCCCAGACACTGCCCAACCTGCTCATCCCCACCTCCATGCAGGCAAGGGCAAGTTAGCACACGGGCAAGTGAAGCAACAGGATGTTTTTCTGGCCAGTTTCTTCATCTCAAGAACTCAGACCCAGTGGTAAGGAAACCTTCAAGCAGCTGCAAGAACGTGCCACAAGCTTGACCACTTTGTTAACCACCCTCCTTATCTGCAAGGAGCTGTTGGGTAACCAGAAACAAGACCTTGTTTGTTTTTTTTTCAAATCGGTGCCGAAAGCCTTGACCTTCCCAGAAAGTGACAAAGCCTTTCCATCCGAGCAGAGCTTCCCCTGACACACGTGTGGGGATAATGGGCCCCTCACTACACCCCACTTATGAGGAAGCTGGACATAGAATCAGAATTGTTAAGGTTGGAAAACACCTACAAGATCATCGAGTCCAGCTGATAAGAGGCAGCACTGCTCTGGGATTTGAGTTTTCAGAGCTAAGGCTTGCCCCTGCTGCAACAGCCACACTCACTGAATCAGCTTAAAAAAGGAAGATTCATAGCTCCAATTTCCCACCTAATCTGGGACTCTCAAAGCCAGGCCACAAAAGATCCTCCCCAACCCCAAATTTCCCCAAGAAATGAGTTCTCAGCCTCCTCCAGGGAAAATTTCTCCCCAAACTCAGCACCTGCAGCCCCTCTGGATTGCCTGTGCCACATTGTCTTCCCCACATTCCACCCCTGAAGTGTGCAAGAAACAACTGAATGCGGCACTCAGAGCTCTGGTCCAGCTGACAGGGCGAGGGTCGGTCAGATTTTTGGACTCGAGGATCATGGAGATCTTTCCAACCCTAATGATTCAATGATCCTATTACCAGGCATGTCACCAGCTCAGTGTGCCAGTGGGGAGCTGGGGAGTGCCCAGCCCGGGGCTGGGGGGCCACATTCAGCCCCCGTGGCCACCCCGCGCTCAGACCCAGCACCCCGAGTAAAAATAGAAATCCAGCTTCCTATCTCCGGGCAGTGTGAGCACACAGACAGGGGTGACCTCACTGCCAGGCAAGTCCCAGCATGTCCAGGCAAGCCCGGGCAGGTGGTGGGAGGGGGACACGTTCGTCAGCCTGGCCAGACACCCCCGGCCCTCCCCGCCTGCGTCACGAGCCGATGTCCCCATTCCCAGGTCGCCGACGCCACTCAGGTGCCACCCTGGAGCCTCAAGATAACAGCCTGGCCCTGACTCATGGCTGCAGATTGCCAAAGCCACCAACGAGGGAGGGACCGCGACGGGCGCCGGGTCATCGTCCCCTCCCGTGGGGCTGGAGCCGCTTCCAGCGACCTCTGCCCAGCCGGAGCTCCGAGGCTCCCGGCACCGAGGGAACCCCAAGATTCGGGCGAGGAAGCGGCAGGTGCACGGCCCCGTTAAAACCTCTGCCAGCCGAGCTGGGTGATGAGAGCAGCCCTGGGGGACACGCAGCGGGGCTCCACAGACACCTGCGACAGCCAGGACCAGTCCCACCAGTTTGGGCAAGGCTGGGCGAGCAGGAGGGGCTGGGGGCATCCGCATCCGGGAGTGGCTGAAGCGCTGACCCCGCGCAGAGAACGCTCGGTTCGTGTCACCGATGGGTCCGGGGGGCTGGCACGGGGGTGGCCGGGACCCGCGGGATGCTCGGCGGTGGGACCGTGCCCGCACCGTGCCCTGCACAGCACCCCTACAACACCGTGCCCTGCACAGCACCCTGCACAGCACCCCTACAACACCGCACCCTGCACCCTGAACAGCACCGGGCACCGCACCCCTACAACACCGCACCCTGCACAGCACCGGGCACCCTGAACAACACCGCGCCCCGCACCCTGTACAACACCGCGCACCGCACCCTGCACCGCACCCTGCACAGCACCGGGCACCGCACCCCGCACCGCCGCCACCGGGGGGCGAGCGTGACCCGGCCCGGGGGCTCCGCATCCCCCAGGGGGCTCCGGGGGCTCCGCACCGCCGGCCCCGGGCACCGCCGGCCCCAGCACCCGCTACCCCCGGGCACCGCCGGCCCCGGGCCCCGGGCGCGGCCCCGCTCTCTCCCAGCGCTGGGCACACGGCCCCAGGCGGAGCCGCCCCCGCTACGGCGTTTCCCCCATTCCAGGCACCGGCGCTCCCCGGGGGCACCGGCGCTCGCCCTCCCTCCCCGGGCAGCGCAGGAGCGGAGCCTCTCGGCCCGGCCGTGCCCAGCCCTGCCCGCACTCACCGCCGGCTCCGCGCGTCTGCCCCAGCCCAGCCCGTCCCCGCCTTTATAGTGCAGGGCGGGGAGGAGCCGCGCCCGGCGTCGCCCGGGATTTCCCTCCCGCCCCGCCCCGGACCGGCCCCGTTCTGCGTGTGCATCCTCGCCCCCATCGCCCCTTCCTCTCCCATCCCTGTTCCCGGGAATGTGCGCGGTGCCACGGGAGACCCGGCCATGCCAGGACCGTGGGCATCGGGACCCCCTTGCTCGGGAGGGCGGGGAGCTGTGTCAGGGATACAGGGATCCCCCTCCTTGGGGAGTGTGTTGGACGCCCCTACAGCAGGAGATGGAGGGACCAGGGGATAGGGGGAAGCCCTTCCTAGGTGGGTGCAGGGCCCCGGCATCAGGGACCAGAGAGAAACCTCAGGCAGGAGACAAAGGCAACCCCAGCCAGGAGATACAGAGCCCTCCTCCCTGGGAGGTGCAGGGATCTCGCCCATCAGGGAATACAGGGACCCCCAATCCATGAGGAAATGCAGAGACTCCCTTCCTAGAGGGGTCAGGGGACAGGGAGATGCCCCGGAGGGATGCAGAGATCTCCTTGTTGAGGGTACAAGGAGCCCCCTGCAGTGGATCCAGGTGCCACATTCCAGCCAGGGCACGCAGGAGTTCAGCCAGCCCCAAGAGGGTCCTGTCCCACCCACCCGGCACTGCAGGAAGGAGATTCACGGATTAAGGAAGGGGTGGCTCAGCCCCTCGGGTGCCAAGCTGAGAACCACACGGTGATGATTCCCCCCTGGCCCCCAGGCACTGCCCAACCCATCCCCGGCCTCTCAAACAGGATTGTCTCCCCCAGGCCCGGCTCTGCTGCACCAGCTGAGCCCCAGCACCCACTGTGGGTAGCAAAAAGTGTTTGGAGTTGGATCTGCTGCCCTGAGTCCTGCAGATGTCCAGGCAGGGATGAGGAGGAGGAACAAGTCTGTGCATGTCCTGCAGGAATCTGCGGCAAGGATTCGAGGAGATCTGCGGCTTAGCTGGAAAATGCATCCAAGGGAAGGTGTGAAGACAGGTCAGCTTCTGCTGGGGTTACCCTGTGGGCCTGGAGGGAGCTGCCCTGAGCCTGGCTGGTGGCTCCATCGCTGCCTGGCAGCCCGAGGAGGGGAGGGATGCCCTCAGAGCCAGCCCAGCAGGGCCCAGGGGCTCTGTCCTGCAGCCCCCTCGTGGCTCAGGCACACGGAGACAAACACAGCCTGCTCCCCTGGGCACAAGGAGGTGACAGCACAATTCCAAGCGACAAAGGCCACGTTAAAGTGATCCCTTGGGAGTGCCAGGTCTCCTCAAAAGCCCCTGGAGGAGGCAGGTGCTGGCGTGCTGAGGAGGACCCTTGGTGTGCAGACCATTCCTGCTTTTTCCAGCTGGAGCAGCAGCTTCCCACTGGCCAGAGCAGCTAAAAAATGTGTTGGGGCATGTTTCGCTCCTGCCACAAGCTGCAGGAGTATTTCACAATCTCTTGTCCCTACTCTGCAGAGCTGTGCCAAGGTGCTGTAATGTGGTTCAGTGGTGGCTGTGCAGTCCCCCAGAGAGGCACAGCTGGATGGAATAGGAAAGGTGAAAAGAAGATGGGAAATGGGAAATCACAATTCCAGGTGACAAGGTGACAGTGAGGAAAGTGAATCACTCATCCCCACTCTGGAGAGCTGTGCCAAGCCCAGTGGTGCCTGCCTGGTTCAATCCCTGTGGCTGCCTCCAGAGCGGCAGAGTTGGATGGACAGGAAATGAGGGTGAGGAATGCTAAATTCCTGTCACAGCACTGAAAAGCCAACCTGTAAAGATGCAGTCTGGACTTGAAGGCTCTAAAATTTATCCTTTCTGTTTACAATAGGCAGGGAGAGGAGGGGGCAAGCTGGGACAGGGAAGCTGTCACTGCTTTTTCCACCCAGGAATGATTTGTGCTCCTGGGTGGCAGGAGCAGCCTTCAGAGCCTCATGCAGAAGAAGTTTGCAGATGATTTCCTTGCCAAGCCCCAGCCCTGCTCCAGCTGCAGGTGTGGGTTTGCTCCCTCTGCATGTGAGGGATGCAGTTGGCACCGCCCCAGCCCAGGCATCCCCTGGGTCAGTGCAAAGGAGCCACCTGGGACTCTGGGATTTGCATTTGCCAGAGGATGCTGCCTGCTTAAAACACATCCCTTTTCTTCCATAGAGGACCGCCTCCCTCTTCTCCCCCAGTGCACAGAAGGAAATGGGAACATCAAACCAGCAGCTTTTTGAAGTGGCAGAGGAAGGAGCTTGTGCAACCCAGAGTGGCCCCAGAGCCACTGGTGCAAGACTGGGGGATTCAAAAAGTGAGATAAGCCAAGCAGCCTGGCTGCTGGGAACATCCCAGCTACTCCAGGGGGTCAGCCCAGGACTAAACCAGCAAGAAAATCCATCAGATGTAGATTTTTTCCTTAGGAAAGTAACTCCCAGTGATTTTTTGGTGGGGTGAGGGTTCACTCCCCACACCCTGGGATGGGGGGCATGAGGAGGTTTCTGGCTCTTGCAAACTCCACTCTCGCTTCCCTTCCTCTGGGAGAGGGGAGCTCCAGCCACCAGGGGGTTAATTGGAAATGGGAAGTGGGAGAGGGATGGCGTCAGGGTCTGGGTCAGGAAGTCCATGGGCACGTCTGCATTGGCATTACCAGAGGGAAAAAAAGGAGTGGGGGGATAGGAGGAGGAAGAGTGATTAAGAAGGCGATACAGGAACTTAAAAAAAAAAAATCCCAAAGGTGATTCATGGTGTTTGATCCCACAACACAGAGGAGGAGGAGGAGCAAGGCAGACACAGGACTGGGGACCAGGATCAGCGCTGAAGGCTGATGGGCTGTTTCCTTCTCACCATTTATAGCTACGGTGTGGGATCTGTCACCTCCCCTGGCCCGGGGCTCCCAAACCCCCACCCGGGAGGAGGGTGCTCGTGGGAGAATCCGTGTTTATCATTTCCTTGAATAACCCGTCCCAATGCCTGGAAGCAGAAGGAATATATTAAATTACTGCATATTTCACAGCCTTCAAAGGAACCTCCTTCCCAGCACCGGCGGCACCCAAACACTGAGCAGCGGCCGCAGGGAGCCCTCGGGAGCGCTGAATTCCCAGGGGATCTCCCCAGGTGGGTCCCGCAGAAGCCGGGGGGAGTGGAAGCCTGAGCAGACACGGAAGCAAACGCATCACTGTGGGCAGGCAGAGCCGAGTGTGACTCAGCCCATCCTCACACAGCCCGGGATGTTCCACGGGGAACGTGCCCGGGCACGGCGCTCCCGACGGGCTCGTCCCTGCCCCGTGTCCTGCTCTGACTCGGGAAGCGGCACCCCCAAAGCCACGGGGACACGGGGGCAGCTCCAGGGTGGAGCAGGGAACGGCTTGGGTCGCATGGAGGGGTTGGGGTGGGAATGCTCCAGCCTTGGAAAATGGGGAAATGTGGTTTGGTGGAGCTGTGCTTGCAGGAATAACTCACCGAGGTCCAGCCCGCGCTCATCGGGACTGTTTGAAATGCACACAGATTCCTGCATGTAAGGATTTTACACGGGTTTGAGATTTAGTGGTCAAAGGTCTTATGTGAAAAAGGTTTTTTGGGGCAGGGAAGTAATATTCCTGTTAGATCAAGCAGCACAGAGGGGAAAACAGCAAAGATTTGGGCAGATGAGCATCCCTCAGGTCTTTTGGGATGGAGATGGCAGAGATCAGGGCACACTTTTTTTTATGTTTATCTCACCTATTTCTCAAGGTGAGATAAACACAAACTCTGCAAAAAGGTGAATTTCTACCCAAAGAAACACCCTGAAAATGGGGGGAACTAACACAGGACCTCTGCCCCAGCACGGACAGTGGAGAGATAGCACATGGGGTTGGGGTTCAATCCTGCAGAACTCACCATCCTACACCCCAAATGTCCAGCCAGGCTGTGTCCCACTCCATGGGGCACAGGGGTGATTTTTTTTCCCCTCCTCAAACAGCTTTTATTTGCCAGAACATCCCAGGCAGGTGGAAATTACTCAACTCAGGACAGCAGATTGCCAGTGACAAAGTCCTGAGTATTCCAGCACTAAAAAGCCTCTTCAGCAAGATTCAAATCACCAGGAGTTTTTTCTCTGTGGTTTTTTTTTTATTATCTCTGCTAACAAGCTTTTTTCTTTTAAGTGGGAAACGTGAAGGCTCTTAATGAAACCCTCACGCTCCAGCAGAAGTCTAAATGAGCCCAGTGTTCGGCTGGAGGGCGTTTGTATCCCAGCAAAGCCTGTTTTCCCATCAGCTCTTTGAAGTGCCCTATTAAGTGATTTTATACTAATAGGATTTTCCCAGGAAAGAAAGACAAGAATGACAAAACGCTGAATGCTTGATTAACTCTGCCCCTAAAAGAACTCGGATCGTGTTAATTGACTGTTCCCCTGCCATATCCAGCCCTTGTTTGCCCCATTTATGAAGGCATTTTGATGAGACACCAGACCCAGCAGA